CAAAGTTCTGATGTTGCCGAAGTTCCCAAGTGTTGAAGTGCCGAATTGCCAAAGTTCCGAATTTCGAAAGTCCCGAATTTCGGAATGCCGAACCGAACCGAAAATTTTCCCCATGCACATGCCTACCATCTAGCCCCCCTGGGCCCCTCATGCCTCCATTAATATAGCAAAATCTTACTGTATTCAACCCTGAAGCTGTAAATCTGCATGCTGTTAGACTCAAAAAAACAAGCAGCCTGATGACATCATCAGAAGTGGTAGCCTGATCCAATCACAATGCTTCTCCATAGATTTGACTGACAAGGAGGCAGATCAGGGGCAGAGCCAGCATGATTCACAGCCCTGGCCAATGAGCATCTCCTCATAGAGATGAATTAAATCAATGAATCTCTATGAGGAAAGTTCAGTGTCTGCATGCAGAGGGAGGAGACACTGAATGTATGGATGCATTTTAGGCAGCCATGACCCAGGAAGGGTCTTTAACAGCCATCTGAGGAGTGGCCAGTGATGTTATCACTAGGCTGTAATGTAAACACTGCATTTTCTCTGAAAAGACAGTGTTTACAGCAAAAAGCCTGAAGGTAATGATTCTACTCACCAGAACAAGTTCAATAAGCTGTACTTGTTCTGGTGACTATCGTGTCCCTTTAAAGACAGAACAGAATCAGGCAATACAGTATGGCAGTTGGTTGATGATAGAAGTTGTATTACTAAATAAAGCATAATAAGCATTTCCTATCAAAGTTAAGAAGTAGTATATCACTTTGTAGAAACATTAAAGGGTAACTATAGTCACCTGAACAACTGTAGTTGTTCTGGTGAGTATAGCCTGTCTCTGCAGTCTTTTTGCTGCAAACACTACCTTTTTAGAGTAAAGGCAGTGTTTGCATTGCTCCTTAGGGACAACTTCAGTGGTAGTCATTCAGACGGCCTCTAGAGGTGCTTGCTGGTTGTGAAGCACTGACGTTCAGAGCATGGAGATGCTGATCTTTCCCCATAGAGATGAGTCAATGCAACTCTATGAGGAGATGCTGCTTGGACTGCACAGTGTTTTGCTGTGCATGCGCAATAGGCTCTCAATGCTTTCCTATGGGAAAGCATTGTATTTGCTAAGATGATTACGTGTAATTATCTCAGCCAAGGAGGAAGATTAGGGGCATGGTCAGCATCGGCGTACCTGCGCAGTGCTGGTAGTAGGTACATTTTCTATTTATGTATGGGGAGCAGGGAGGCAGGGTAGTTAAATAGAGTTTTTTTAACACTACAGGGTAAGGAATACACGTTTGTACTATCAGACTATTGAATTGAAAGTTATGTAAATAGATTTGCATTATGAATGTTGTATTTGCATAGTCGAAATGTTGTATTTCATTGATGTTGCTTGTTTTTTTACACATTGTTATAAGATTGATCCATAATGTATTTTCTCTATATAATCTCTCTACGTCTGACTTTCACTAGACAAAAGCTGCACAATTGGTGCCTTCCTGAAAGCCAGAATTATCTAAATGGCACAGTAGATGTAAAATAAGTTAAAAAAAATAAAAATAAAATAAAAATGTCATTTTTGTGAAAATGACATCTTTTTCAGATGTCACATTTACATAATAAAAAAGCAACTTAGATTTGGACAAAAAATGGGACGCAAATGGTGCCAATGACATAATAGAATTATCAGAGACTGGGTTGTATACATTTGTGTGACAAAGTATTCCCAGATAGAGAGTTTGTAGCATGAATATTTAAACATTTGCTCACTTATTACTGTTGCACTATGGTATCATGTATAAGAACTGGCTGAGATTTAATATGTGTTAAGTCTATATGGTAACAAATCTATTAAATATATGTATATACACAAATCAATTGAACTTTTTTATGAATCGTGCAGTGTTTATTCATTTTATTTGGAACTGTAAAGAGTTTAAAAGGGAATTGCATGTTTTGATCCAAAATAACCAACTTGGAAAAATATAGAAGTTCCCATTTTTTAATTTGTGATTTAAGATTTACAATTCACTTGTCAACTCTTCACAACACCTGGTTAGTGAATAACTCTAATGATGGCATGTAACGCTATATGAAAGTTATGAAATGCGTCTAGATATGGTGCAAATATCTAGAGAGAGAGTGGGAGAAATATATACTTAGGCACATGCAAATACATGAGCAATTCCTGTATAGTAATAGTAATCGGGAAGTTGTCATTCCACTGACAATTTCAAGTCACCCACAAGAAGAGGTAAGTGGAAACCTCACTGTGCATTTTGCATAACATGTAAACCATGCAGTTAACATAAGATGCTGTCAAAACAACAAAAAAACAAAAACATTGCTTTTTTTTTAATATGAATTATTACATTATATATATATATATATATATATATATATATATATATATATATATATATAGCAAAATCCAAATAGGTTATGGTGGGGAAAAATTGTGATTGAAAACCCCTTCCACCTGAAGTCTGTGGATAGTTAATACAATGTTAAACAAAAATCTGAACACCAGTCAAGCCATAAGACTTGCTTTTCCCACAGAAATCCCAAATCTGCAGTGATGTTACAACCGCAAAGGATTCTGGGTGGGCATATGCAAATTAGTTTAACAAAGAATCACATTTTTGCCTCATTCCATTTTAAACATGGATTCCTTTTAATCTGTGTTTGCAGTATACAACTGCTTGGAACACAATTTAGGAAAAGATGCAAAACCAGTGAACCACTCATGGACAGCTGTTTAGTTGTTAATGCAACTCTTCAGCATGAGGTTGGTTTTATATATATATATATATATATATATATATATATACAGGTGATACTCGAAAAATTAGAATATCGTGCAAAAGTTCATTTATTTCAGAAATGCAATGTAAAAGGGGAAACTAATATATGAGATAGACGCATTACATGCAAAGCAACATAGTTCAAGCCGTGATTTGTCATAAGTGTGATGATTATGGCTTACAGCTCATGAAAACCCCAAATCCACAATCTCAGTAAATTAGAATATTACATGTAATCAATAAAACAAGGAGTGTACATAGAACAATATCGGATCTCTGAAAAGTATAAGCATGCATTTGAACTCAGTACTTGGTAAAAAATGTCAACGTTTCAGTTCAAAACACTGAACTTTCTTCAGTGTTCTTCAGTGTTTTTTGTACTGAAACATCAAAATTTTTTACCAGCCTTCAACCTGAATAAAAGTTAAGTTTTATTTTTTACTATATATTAGTCCTATAATTATCCTTTTTTTGTATATTTTTGCGGACAAGCACCGGGCACAGTGTTTATTAGTACTGGAGTGCAGGCATTAGGATTTGTTATATATAAAAATTCACAGGTCTGTTTGTTGTGGTTTTATTCACTGTATTACATCATAAAGCGGTCTTTACAGACAATTGTCATCCAAACATCCAAACCATAAGAAAGAAGAATTTGATATATTTTAAAGCTATAAAACATAATTACATGCTTAATTGTATTGCCCAATATCTATATTAAAGAATTTATATTAAAGCAAAATTTAAGCTCAATGTAGATTATAAATACAATTTAATTAAGAAAATAAGAAATATAATTACATTTAAAGTGACTGCATTTAATGCAGATTATAATTTTTTTCAGTTTGCTGCAGGAACCCTCTCAGACTAGTAAATGGCTGAGATTTTTTATTTTTTTTTGCAATCAGATGCTGATCAAGTGACCAAAATCTGTGTTACGTCTAACGTGAACTACATCAAGATTTTGCACCATGTGCAATAACACATGGCAAACTACACATATATAAAGAATATTAAAGTGGGTGATTAAAAAACCCCCACATAAATAATAATTATTATTACAGGACCACTTGATTATGGAAACAAAGACAAGTAGGTCAGAATGAGTATGTAAAAAGATGGGAGAGGACATGCAAAAATGTAAATGGCACTAAATGGCAGTGATAGGTATGAAGAGGAAGTGGAGAGGATGTGATAGTGACAAATGTGTATGTATGATGTTACACAGAATTAATTGACACTGTGCTGCACCCAAACTACACATATACAATAATCTTTACAAATAATTGTTTTCAATGCTTCCAGTTTGTCATTCTCTTTATGTGAATACCTATGCAACCTACATATAACCAATTTTTTTTTCGTTTTAGTAAATTTTCCTCTACATGATGTTTTTTTCAGAATCCTATCAAATAATAGGTGAATAAAGAGACAACAGTTTTATTTAAAGCATATATTTAATGTAGTATCTTGTGTATGAGTAGAAAAACATCTCTCTGCCATTATGTTTATTGTGGTTCTGTTTATGCCCAACACATCCCCGAGTTCACACAGGTTATGATTGAATCTTGCGTGGAGGGGATGTGTAATACGTCTCTATAACTTCAATGTATATTATTATTATTATTGGTAGGTTGGTTCATTTTTTAATATTAAAATTAGATATATAAATGTTAAAAATCATATACGTGCTTTGAAAATGTTATGCAAACCCAAAATTGAATTGCTATATCTTCTTTATGGTAAAATTTGGTAATGGTAAAAATGGTGGCCTACAGGACGTCTTAAGGAATTGATGGATCATAACGATAGACTATAGTCCAGATTCTAGTATGTCTTGTGTTTGACTACCTTGTTTGTATCTTTTTATATTTGGTGGATCAATTATGTCCAGTGTTTACAAGGCAAGGCTCAGGAAGATACCAAAGTACAATAAAGATTTAGGAGTATTATAGAAGGCAAGGACCTTTTTTTTTACAGAGCAAGATTTCTGTCTTTCAAGATAGAGTGTGCATCTTGCACTTTTCCATATTTTCTGCCCACTTTAAATAGCATGAGCATTAAGTTAAGATTTCCACTTTAGCAGTTGTTTATTTATATTTTATTTTTAATTTTTTTTTAAAATCACACTTAAGGCAGATTGGCTGACTTTTCAACAACACCAATTTTAATCTGCTATAGACAGGGGCGGAATGACAGTGTCCTGGGACATACATATATTCACTTACAATGAATATACACATAGAAACACAGGTCTGCAGGGTAAAATTAGGACATGGGCTCCCTGCAGACCTGTGTTTCTATGTGTATATTCATTGTAAGTGAATATATGTACGTCTTTGTGTTTCATATTAGAATATGTGGTTTCAGAGTATATTTAACTTGATAAAAAGATACTACAGTGAAAATCAGGTGGGGTGTGGGGCACTAGTAATTTCCACTACTAAATCATTTTCGTAGTAATTGCAAGGGGGATAGTGGGTATAGGGGAGGCTCAGGGGCCATAGTGGGAACATGGGTAATTGGGACTTTAATGAATGCAAGGAGTAAGAGGGGCTGTAGTGGGTGCAGGGGACATGGGGGCTGCGGAGGAGGGCAGGGGGATAAAGGTTGTAGTGGGTGCTCGGGGTATAAGAGCTGTAGTGTTTATAGGGGCTGTAGTGGGGGCAGAGGCTACAGTGGGGAAGTAGGTAATAGGGGCTTTAGTGGGTGTAAGGGGAAATTTGAACTATTTGGGGTGCAAGGGGTAATAGAAGCTATAGTGGGTGCAGGAGAGGGATATGGGCTGTGGTAGGTGCAGGGGTGGGATAGGGACTGTAGTGGTTGCAGGGGGATAGGGGCTGTAGTGGGTGCAGAGACCAATAGAGGTAATAGTGGGTGCAGGGGATAAGTGCAGTAGTGGGCATAGAGCTGTAATCGGTATGGGTCTGTAGTGGGTGCAGGGCGTAATAGGTCTTTAGTAGATGCAGGGGGTATAGGGACAGTAAGGGATACAGGGGTGCAGGGGTATAGGGGCTGTAGTGAGTGCAGGGGGTATAGGGGCTGTAGTTGGTGTAGGGGCTGTATTGGGTTTTGGGTGCCTAGGGGCTGCAGTGGGTGTAGGAGCTGCAGGCGGTAGATGGGCTGTAGTGGGCAGAGGGGTTGCAGTGGACACAGGGGCTGCAGAGGTAGGTGGGACTGCAGTGGTTAGTGGGGTTGCAGAACCGTAGTGGGTAAAGGGGCTGCAGGGGGGGTTAGGAGTGCTGGAGTGGACAGAGGGGTTGCAGTGGACAGATGGGCTTCAGGGAGTATATCAGGCTGTAGTGGAGTGGGTAGTGGAGCTGCAGGGGATAGTGGAGCTGCAGGGGGTAGTGTGGCTGCAGAGCTGTAGTGGGTAAGGGGGTAGGTGGGGCTGTAGTGGGTAGGGGTAGAGAGGCTTTAGGGGGTATAGGGGTTACAGTGGGCAGTGGGGCTGCAGGCAGTAATGGGGCTGCAGACCTGTAGTGGGTAAAGGGGTAGAGGGGCTTCATGGGGAAGAGGGGCTTTAGTGGGTAGAGGGGTTGCAGTGGGCAAAGGGGCTGAGGTGGGTAGGTGGGGCTGTATGGGGTAGTAAGTAAAGGGGCTGCCCTGGAATGGAGGAGCTGCAGTGCAGGGTGCAGAAGGGCTGCAGAGGGTAGAGCATCTGTGGTGGGTAGAGGGATAGGAGCTGTGATGAGGGGGCATTATATAAATTTTTAATATAAAAAAATGATTTATTCCCCCCTCTCTGAGCCTTACCTTTGCATGCTGTTTCTCCCTGAAACGCTGCCTGTAACAGTAGCTCCGCACGGCTCCCTGAACTTTTGACACATGATGTAATTTCCTGCATGAGGAGCTGCATAGAGCTGCATACAGACAGCTCTCCTGCTGAGCTCAAATTTCAGGCACACTGAGAGACAGCCTAGTGCAGTAATGGCGAACCTATGGCACGCGTGCCACAGGTGGCACGAGGTCGCCGGGAGAGGGGGCCGCTGGCTCTCTGCAGAGTAGGCACCTGCCTGCCCAAAACGGCAGGCGCCTACTCTGCTTCTGTGTTGGGAGGACAGAGGGAGAGCTCTAGGAAGCAGCTCTCCTGTCCTCCTGCGCGATGCTGTGTGGAGCGTTGTCGCGCGTTACCAGGGCAACTCTCCACACAGCATCGCGCGGGAGGACAGGAGAGCTGCTTCCTAGCTGCCAGAAACATACTTACCACCACCGGACCACCGGGGATGGCTGTGTCCCACCCCTCCTTCACCAAAGGTAAGAAGAAGGGATGGGGAGGATACAGAATTAATATATCTTTTTTTAAATGTATTTTTACCCCTACCCCCGACAGAACAGCACCCCTATCGCCACAGTACAGAACCCCTACCCCCCCACACAGCACAGCACAGTCTGTCTGTATATGTATTGTATGTGTGTATGTATTTAGCAGCCGGTGTGTGCATGTATTTAGCAGTCGGTGTGTGAATGTGTTCAGCAGTCTGTGTGTATATATTGCATTTGTTGGAGATACTAATAAATATAAGCTTAATTTTATCTATTTATATCATTATTTAAAATTTGTATCATTGAACTCTGTTGTGTGTTTTAAAACAAAAGTTGTTAATTAGTTTGGACAACTGTATGAGTTGTTTTTTCTAAACTTAAACCTCAGTATTCAGGTTTAATTGCCGTGTTGGCACTTTGAGGAAGAAAATGTTGGCATGTATTGCAGTTTGGGCACTCAGGCTCAAAAAGGTTCACCATCACTGGCCTAGTGGGTGTTTGTGAGGACCCATTAGCTGTCTCTCAGTGTGCCCAGCAAGGAGAGAATGTATTTTGTAACAGGGGCCCGTGGTGTGCCGTGCGGGCCCCTGACTGCAGGCTGGCTGGGGAGATGTTTAACTCCCCAGCAGACCTGTTACTTTCCAGCAGCACGGGAGGGCACCCTAGAATATCGGTCCCTCGGTCCATAACCAATTTACCCGAGTGTTCAGTCTGCCCCTGACTATATAGGAGTGAGCACCTTTGATACCTAATCAGGATCAAAAATCTTTTGGGGTCCATTTAAGAAAGTGTTAACATTTCTTTTTCAAGGCATACTGATGTGTTTTTCCAGCACTGTGTGCTTATGGGTCAATTTTATTCACCTGCCTTCACCTAACGGAACACTATAGTGTTAGGAATACAAAGTTGAGGGGAACCTGATTCAGCACAAGAACGAACTAATTAATATTATGACTGTTGCATCTCAGAAGTATAACGCCCACTTATCTCAACCAGATGATTTACATATATGTCCTGGTTTTGAACAGATTAAAGCTTCCAAAATGCATGGTATGATTGGTGCATATTCCCCATATATGTATGTATGTTTTGACACAATTCATTTTTTTAAACATAATTTAATATTAGTTTATTTTAACTCCACAGCAAAAAAATATGTATTTAGAATAGTAGATAAAGATAGATATTTTATTAATTTCATGTCTATTATTATTGTTACCTGTTGCAGAAAACGTGGCACAATGGAAGCAAGTGTACCCACAATTAAAAGGTAATGTTCTGTGTTGGAAACAGTCAACCAGGCTGAAATATCAAACTAGAGTTGTATGGGATTTTATTCCCTCCTAAAAGGCTAACATACACAATCTCTTTAAGGAGAATAGGGAAACCCATGGTCATATCTGTTTTTATTTATTTTTCTAGTCATGCTACTTATTCTTTAAAAAACCTTTTACTACTTTAATTCTCCTGCATTTGTTATGTAAAAACAAGGGTTGAAACTCTTTAATTATTTATTTACTTTAAATGCCTCCTATTATCGTGAGCAAATTTTTGGTTGCAAATAGTTGACAGAATTTCTCTATATAGTGAGACCATCGAGCCTGATGCTACACTAGTAAAAACGATACCAGTACCTCAAGTTAGGTGTACAACAAAGACAAAAAAGAAACAATTGCTGCTTCAGCCAATTGAACAATGAATATAGTATACAAAGGAGCCCCAGCGGAGTAATTGTTAATGTTGACATATGGTGCTCTGTCATTGCTTAATAAATCTTTGTGCGAACATGACAGCTGGGCTCATGTGCATGCAGGCAAGACCGCTGTTAAGTTACACGTTTCTTAAGGCCCCTGCTAGTTATTCAATGAATATTAGATAATTATACACTATGTAGCACCTGGCTATGAACAAGGTAGCACTTGGCCATGAAATATATGTGTCCATTGCAGTCCAGTCCAGCTTTTAGACTACAGAGCTCAATACACAAACAAGAGAAAAATATTATATTAAGGCACCCAGACCACTTCAGTTCATTGAAGTGGTCTGGGTGTGGTGTCAAAGGCCCCTTAGCTCTGCAATGGTAATTATTGCAGTTTTTAATAAACTAAAATGATTACCTTTGAGGGTTAACTCCACCCTTTAGTGCCAGTCTACCAGACAGCCACTAGATGGACTTCAGGGTTGTTATGCGACTTTTGGTTGCCTAACTGACGCTGGACGTCCTCACGCTATGTGGGACGACTTCCAACGTCATGTAAAACCCCATAGAAAAGCATTAAACATGCTTTCCTATGGTGAAAATACTAATGTGAGTGCAGCCATTGCTGTGCATGCACATTCTCCCCCACCGCTGTCAGTGGAGCATGAACATCGGCACTGGACTCAGGTAAGTGACAGAAGGGGTTTTTAACCTCTTCTGCACTACAGGGGGGATGACTTGTGCGAGGGAGTGAGGGGTGCGCTATAGGGAGCAATAGTGCCAGAAAAACAGCTTTGAAATAACTATTCTGAACAAACCAGCAGGGAGCTCTCTATTGATCTTCTCTCTTTTTCACTCATGTGCGTGGTATAGAAATGAATATTTATCCTTTAAATTAAAGAGATTCTCAATACATGTCTTCATGGTTAATCCTCCAGACTGCTCAGACTTCCTTTAACTTCCTGTACCTAATAAAATATTTTTGGATAAGTGCCTGGACTAGCATGAAATGTCTGGCTCTTCTATCAGTATATTGCTTTTCTCTGTTACTGTGCCATGAATATTATTGAATAAAGGAATTACTTTATATTTTAAGCTATGTCCCGTGGATTTTGTGATCGGGAGCTCTCTTTCCTCATTTTTTGGAGGATGGGGGTACCTTGTGGAGATCATTGTAACTTTGCTCTCCCCCTGAAACAGCACAACTTAATATCCCTAGGCACCATATTACATTTTCACATGATTTAACCTAAGTTGCTGCCTGGATGCTAATCAACACTGTTGTTTACCTTTTTGGATTGGCCAGCAAAGGCTGGTGATTGTCTGAGAGTGTCAGCTACACTCTGAAGATATCACTGACCACT